ATGGTAACGTAGTATTTAGCTGTTTCGAATTTCCAGAGTGAAATATCGATGGTGATACCACGTTCACGTTCAGCTTTAAGTTTATCTAATACCCAAGCATATTTGAATGAACCTTTACCCATCTAAACACACATTAATACAAAGAGATGATTAGATTCAATAGAAATTCGAAATCACAAATATATACTTCAGTAGCTTCTTTTTCGAATTTTTCAATTGTTCGTTTATCAATACCACCACATTTGTAGATCAAATGACCAGTTGATGTTGATTTACCAGAATCGACATGGCCAATGACGACAATGTTAATATGAAGTTTTTCTTTTCCCATTATTAAAAATGAAGCAGTAGCTCTGAAGAGAAAAGAAGAATTTGAATCAGTAAAAATCGTACGTGAATGAAAGCAACCGAGTTTATAATGCAGCGGTATATATACATGAGTACCTTGCGCAAGAATTACAAAGTATTGCGACGATGATGAAATGTTTCATCGCTAAGAAGAAAACACACGATTCTCGAAGCAAAGTTGATTGTGTGCATAGTTAGAAAAATAAAGAAAGGTAGAAATAAATTGTGATTGTAAACATATTGTGTCATATGCGCCCCAGAAAAAAAAGAAAGATGAAAAAATATTCTCGTAAAGTAATTTTATGGATGAGTCATTGATTAAACATACAAGAAATTTGGTTGAAAGGCGTATAAAAGTTCTGTCTTCATCATTTTAATCCGAAAAATTTTTTGATAGGATTTGATAGGAAAAATTATTCATAAACAGAAAATACTGAATATTTAATCTTAATTTCTATTATAGATTATTTTCAAGCAATATACTGATAGCGTAAATGTAATAGTACAAATTTCTTAGACAGATATTTTAAGCGTACGAAGTGTACACCTCTATTATTTAGATAAGTTTTTTTTAAGAAAATAAACATTTTTTCTACTTTTATTTGCAATCAATTAAAGAATTCTTTCATAAAGTATTTTATTTGTCTATAAAAGTAATGTTTTATATAGTGGCAGACGGTACGCAAATATTCAAAGCAACAACAAAAAAAACTAATATATTAGGAGTTCAAAACTATATAGCATACGAGACGAGTTCATTTTCAATATTGATCTATCAGTTGCATGGTAAAACTATCGCCTAATCAAATATCTTACTATTCATTGAAATGTTGTTATATTAATAAAATACATGAAACACCGATATTATCGTAAAGTAAAACAACAAATTTTAATGCATATGTCAGAAATATAATTCACTCTTATTATATTTTTAGCAAGTCTTAATAAAATATTCATAAAAAAGGTATTCATCAATCCTTTCCTTCTCACTTTGATTCATTTTTTTCTGTCAGTTTTAATAACAATTCAGATAGTTATAAATTATATAGCATCTTATATGTTTTATCCCTACATATAATCAAAGTTTATGAATTCAACATTTTCATATGACAAAAAGGATTAAACATGTCGAAATGTTTTTCTTCTTCAATAAATATTTGCTCGTATTTTAGAATAGAATACAAAAAAGTGCATCACATGGAATTGTAATTATTCATTCTCAAATACGAGTTGAAAACTAAAAAAATGAATATATCGACCGTACTTTTTTTAAATCAGCAGAATATTTTTTGATAAAATACAAATACATAATTTCGGAAGACATCTAAATCGTTTATATACTTGAATAAATACAGCACAGCTACTGGCATATTATTCTTTGTTCGATTGAAGTAAATTGATTGCATTACGATGTTCGTTTTTTCTACCCAAAACATTAACTTTTATTATACTACGTTTATCAGAGATTGTTCTTGAAGTTTATAAAAATACATTCATTTTTCTAAACAAATGTGTGCAATAGTTTTTATTTGCAAGAAAGAGAACGACGTTATTCTCTCTTTCATCAAGTCAGTGATGGATAAAAATGACATGAATAAACAAATAAAAAAACTAGAAGATGTTTTAACAAGCACACAAACATTGAAAAAATAAATATGATTCTTTCAACATATTTTCTTTCTCTTTTTCTCGCTGCGAACACATAATATAACATAATATAACAATGAAAAAAGAGGAAAATAACAAACAAGCGATAACTTACTTAACGATAAATTAAAAGCAATAAATAATTAAATAGATATTTTATGTTTGTTAATTGCACTTTTCCTAGAAACACACGCACTCAAAAATATAAAGGCTTATAACGATGGTTAACAATAAATTTTTTTAAATTTTAAAACGAGACAGATGGAAAGAAAGTTCAGGTGATAATGGAGTTGTTTATTTTTTGCCTTTGGCAGCTGGTGCAGCTTTGGCACCTTTGGCT